GGCGGCATGTGAGTCATGAGTGTATTGAGAGTTAGATTGGGGGAAATTAGAATTAGGGTAGGGTTTGGGGAGAGTAGGGCGACGAAATAAGTGTTGGCGGGTACCCATGGGTTGGGTATCCCTAAACCCAAACTCAAACCAACCCAACTCGATGAATAGCGTATCGGGTTTAAACCCAAACCCGACTCGAAACCCGTCGACACGGGTTTTACCCGCGTTGACCAGGTTGGATCTGATAGGGTACCCGTGGGTTTGGATTTTGTTGCCATCCCTATGTCCATTCTTGTTATCTCTATCTATTATGTGCCATTGTGGTATTGATTATAATATCATCATAGGTTGCTAGGAAACTTCACTTATGTCATATATGATTCGTCTCTAGCTTGGGAACTTGCACTGCTGCGGCGGCAGAATTATGGGGTTTGTATCATGGCCTCCAAGTTGCCTGGAGAAGTGGTCACAGAACTATCTTGGTTGAATCATACTCGCGTCTTGCTTTGGACCTGGTGAACAACAGATCTGACCCTCTCCATCCCTACTCGACCCTTATTGCTGCTATTAGAAGATTGATTGCTCAGGATTGGGTGGTAAGGCTAGCACATACATACCGAGAAGGGAATAGAGTCGCGGGCTGGCTCTCGAAGCATAGTCTCGTCTATCCCTACGGTATGTACGAGCTGCCCTCTCCACCCCAGGGAACGATCTCGCTTATCTCAGATGACGCTAGAGGAGTAACTTTCACTAGGCGCATCATCCCCTCCCATCCGCTCACCTCTACCTCCATGTAATTGTTCTTCTTTGGCCTTCGGGTCTCCCTGTCAACAAAAAAAAAAAAAGTCATATATGATTTGCCTTGTGTATGTATGTTTAATTGGATGCAATTATGCATGCTTGTTCGAGATTCATGCTTGTTATATAGATCACCAATACCATATACCGATGTTATGAGTTCATAGAAACCGAAAATAGCATCATGCTATAATTACTTCCTTGTTATTATCGATCACGCATTAACTAATTGTAGTTTCTCTTGAATGTGGTCAAAATTTGGTTATGAATGAAATATTTGAATGCATAGAGCAAAAGAGAAGGTAGGGAAGATAGAAAAAACCCCAATCTTTCTCCTCTCTCGATATTTCTTCTCTTCTCATTTACCCACAAAAACCCCAATCTGTCTATTCTCCTCTCTTCCACTTCCTCCTTTTTTCCTTCTCCCCTCTCCGGTGGCAACATCCAGATCTGGCTCCCGGCGAGAACCTTCCAGAAGCCAAGGAATTGTTTGACGGATGAAATTTTTTCATTATAGATGAACAACAAACACCTAAATCAAAGTTTTCTAATACTTTGAACATTGATTTCATTGTACCAGTTTCCAAATTAAATATGAGCAATGCATAAGTAATCAAACAACGATTTACAATTCATTTGACACAAGTAAAAGCGTTGAGATTTGATCTAAACGAATGTAAATAAAACATATATCCTTATCATCACATTGAAAACTTTTGTGTAGTATTGGTTAAAAAATATGATTACTATTCGTCAGTTTAAATAAAAACACATAATTTCCATGTAAAAATGGGGTGCGGGTCATTCGGGTGACCCACAATCCACCGATCGTCAATCCGATAAGTGTCCTTAGGAGATTTAGTGATCCAAAATTCACTCATATCAATCACTCAACCATTGCGGTTTGGGTTATTAGTCGGGAGATTGGTGTCAAACCGCGGATTACTCACCCCGTGCCCACCCCTAATACTTGTGAAGAGAGCTCAGATCCAAGGGGGAGGTTGAAGGCTCAAAGAGAAGGAGAGGGAGAAGTGGTTCGTCTAGGGGAGATGGAAGAGAGAGATAATTATATTTTTAGAGAAATTACAATTCTGATTAAGTTTAAGGAATAATGTCTCGAGTACATAATCTATAGTCTGACAAATTCTCTTAAACTATCTCTATCTTTTTTTTTTGGTAGAAACCTCTATCTTTTTCCTAGTACAAAATTGCCAAACACTCCCAAAAACCCACATAAAAAGTAAAAAATAATCCTGAAATAATAAAAATATTAAAACTCATAAAAATATTCCGCCTAAACTTCGGTTTTTCCTGTGGTAGTTCCAGCATCATGTTCTGCCGACGGGGATGCCCTCACATCTAGGGAGATGCCAGGGTTGGTTAGGTGTCCTGTCTATGGGGATGACGACGAGGAGTCGTTGTTCGTGATTTCTTACCCGTGGTTAATGTCATTTTATTTTGGTGTAGGTTTCTCGAACAGCCTGCGGTGGGGTGGGAACATGTTAGGAGTATGGTATCTTTGTTCTGGCGCATTTGGATGTCTCCTAATTGGGTGGTGTTTGAGCATACACAGTTCTCCTTTGTTACGTTGGCTATACAGTTCTCTTTGCAGGTGGGTGAGTGGCAGACACAAGTGAAGGGTCAGGCGGAGATGCGTGGAACGAATTCCCAGGGTCTGCCGGAGGGTGTGGTGGAGCTAGCCTCAGTGTCCCTAGATCACGTGAGAGTGTTTGTTGATGGGGCAGTTCGACCTAGGTCTCATGGGACTGGGCGATGGGTTATGTAGGGTTCACAGGGATCGCTCCTGGCAGTGGAAGGGGGTCTGTTTGATGGGGTTGTGGATCTGTTCTTGGTCGAGTTGCTCACGTTAAGAGAGGCGATTCGTTGGTGTGTGATTCACGGCGTCCGGAAGGTAGTGTTTGCTGGTGATGTAAAGGCTGTATTTGACAAGGTTCGCAATGACGTGGTATCGAGCGTACGTGGTGGTGTCACTTAGAGAGTATTTACAAAGCTGTAATGTTTGCTTTATTAGTCGGGTTAAAAATAGTGCTGCCCATTTGCTGACGAAAAATGCCATTTCATTGTTCCCAGTTTAGAGCCCAATATATATTATTTTGATATTGATATGGGGGCTAAATGAGTTTAGGGCTCAATATATTGATTTTGATATGTTTACTTTTCTAGGTGATAATACGAGTAAGCTAATGATGAAAAGAATAGGGAGGAAGGGGGCTACATGGGTATTGGTAAATGGATGATGGGATCAGCCTTTTTCATGCTGCGGTGTTTTGTCATTTCTAGCTCTCCCCGGATCTTCTCTGTCATCTTTGTCCTCCCACTTTTCTCCCTCCCTCCCCTGTCCCTGTGTACTGTTCCCACCTCCGCAGTATTTCTGCTGCCTGCCTTCCTTCCTTCTCCAATTCGCATTTCTCTCTCCACAGAAAACTTTCGCAGAAAATGAAAACCCATTTTCCTGCTAACCAATCAAAGTAAAACCCTCTTTCTCTTTTTTCCCTTGGGGCACCTCACAGTCATAGACTACTTCCCAATCCCCTTAATTCTCCCTTTCTCCCCAGCCAAGCGAGTGAGTGAGTGAGACAATTCTCTGCGTCCCTTTTGCTTTCTCCCACCCATTTCTGTGCTTCCCCATTTTCCGCTCTCGCTCACCTTTGCTTCCATTAGGGTTTCCGCTCACTTCGAAAATCAATCTTCCGGTGTGTTCCTGTCCTTCTTCCTTCTCCTTCTCCCTCTTCCAATCTAATCTAATCCTCACTTTTCCATTTTTCTTCCGTTATTAGGGTTTTATTACGATGTGTTGTGATGTGATGTAGCGCACGCTTATTTATACTGACTCGCTTCCACTCTCTTACCATTTGATGCAGATTTCAATAAAATCCTAGAGTGAGTGAGAGAGAGAGAGAGGCGACGGAGACGGGGAGGGAGAAGAAGAGCGTGACTACTGCTAGCAGACTCTTCGTTTCCAGTGAAACGTCACATCGGAGGAAAATGGATGTTCTCTTCGCACAGTCCGACCCACCACCGTCCCCACTTAGCTCTTCCATTTATCCGTCCTCCTCCTCCTCCGCTTCTTCTTCTTCTTCTTCGCCGCCGTCCGTCTCAGGAAGATCCACCGGTTTCGCCGCCTCTTCGATTGTTTCCGTGCCGCAGAGATTTCTGGCCACGATTCACTCCCTTAGGGTCCGGTACTTCCTCTTCGCCGCCGTCGCGGTGGTGATGCTCCTGCTACCGCTGCTTTCCCTTGTCTCAGGTAGTTGCATCCATCCTACTATTTCTCTTCATCATTTATCCGGAAAACCAGGGAGCTAGCTAGGAAAGAAAAGGAAAAAAATGAATAATAAACGAAGGAAAGCTAGCTAGGCCTAGCTAAAGAGCAATTTAATCATAACCGACTCTCTTCTTTTGCTTCCAGTTTGCTTAATCATGAAACTGAGTCGACTAGCTTTATCCTGGGTATGAACCTGAGAAAAGCGAATCGATGATTTTGTCTGCCCTTTCCAATGGTTTTTTGTTTTCTTTTGGATGAACTGGGTAATCCCGTTTTATGTTTGTTTTTGTCAATTGCATTCTTTCCTTCTCTCTGCTTTCTTTTTTCGTACTCATTCGCCATAATTGCATATTTTCAACTACGAAAGGGAAAAAGGAACAAGAGACCAGCAGCTGGGTTTCATCATATATTTCCAGATTTGTGTCCTAATTCTCTACTTTTGTTTCTGTGTAAACTTGTAGGTAACAGTCCATGTTCATCATCTGGAGGGTGCCCAGCCGGCGCCATCTCGAATGCAAACCGGGCACTACTCTCTGGTCTTCCTCATCGCAAGTTTCTCATTAGACGCTGTAAGAATCTTCTCTCCTTTTAACGCCATTATATTTCTGGGTCTGAGTCTCTTTGATCCGACGGTTGTAGATGGGCTGGGTGGCGAATTTGTGGGTTTTATCTCTCACTCCGGGGTGGGTTGTAATTTGGAGCCTAGCCTGGGTTGTGAAAACTGAAAAGCCTGAAGGAGGTTATACCTGTGCTGTGCTGTGCTGGTTTTCCCTGTTGTTTGTCGCTTAATTGCCATGGAGGAGAGGAGAGGTGACTGACTCTATAGTCTATACCCTGTAGCTGGTTTGTAGCCTCTAGGGTAGGACGTAGCAGCGGCCCTCAGAGGTGCGTACGATACAGTTTGTCAGAGTGGGTGCACACGGCTTGTTATTTTAGTTAATTATATATTATGCTCATTCATTCCTTGCTATCATGCACCGTTCCCCTTCCACCAAAATGGGGGCTACATCTCTACGCGTTGAATTTACCTATTTGCCATTGTTGAAATGATGGGATCCCCATGTCACTTCCACCTTTTCCCTCTTTTCGGTCATTTGTTAATTGGAGAAACTCGGGGAGCTTGTGACCCAGGCCCCGGGCGCCACCTTGCATACGGCGCATGTTAACCTAACCAACTTTTCCTCTTTATTTCATCATTATTATTCATTATTATTATTATGTATGGCAATAATCGATCCTCATATGTTTTGTACATGTAGCTGCCTGGCTGATTAAATTAGCAGGCATGTTCAGGGATTAGGTCAGAAAATCATTAATCATTGTCGTCTTTCAGTAGATAATAGTAAATGAAGTCCATGAATTAATATGTTGGGGCGCATCGGCATCAGAGTAGTTAATGTTGTTCCTTCTATTCACGGGACAGCCTCAGAATAATGCAAGACATAGGCATTCTCGTGTTGAAGGAAGAGGGATAGGATACCATAAATGCCTGGTGTCTGTTGTGTTCCATTGATTTTTCATTATCAACAATACCATTATGGAAAGAGGCACCACGTAGCGAAACGTTTGATTGTGACATGATGCCATTCTCTCTCCTCTTGCTCCCGATCCTTTTGTTTGTCTTCATTTGTTTGCTTGCTTTCTGAGGGCAGTTCCTATGGCCCTTCAGAAATAAAAGTGTGTTTTGTCCGTTGACCCTTCCCTTTATGGCATTCATGGGTCGAGTCGCTCGTATTATGTGTTTCCCCACATCATCACCTTTTTGCACAAAAGCACAAACTTTCACCAGCTCGAATTGTATACAAAACATCACCCTTTGTGTGCTTCCTCTTTTCTTACCCAATCTGAATCTGGGGTTTCTTCTTCCATGTCTCTGAATTGCGTTTGTTTTTTCCTGCTTGTGTTTGGTTCTGCCCACAGCGCTGCTGGCGAAGGAGGAGCCCAACAGGATGTGGGGAGAGAAGTGTACGACGGCAGACATAGTGATAAACCAGGGCCCAACTTCTCCTCTCCCTAACGGGACACCAACTTACACCGTAGAGATAATGAACGTCTGCGTCACCGGCTGCGACATTTCCAGGATCCACATCACCTGCGGCTGGTTCAGCTCCGCCCGTCTCGTCAACCCCAAAGTCTTCAAGCGCGTCCGCTACAACGACTGCCTTGTCAACAATGGCAAGCCTTTGCCCAACGGCGGCACCCTTTCCTTCGAGTACGCCAACACTTACTCCTACCCTCTCACCGTCTCTTCTGTGGTTTGCCGTTGATCTCTTCTCTTCACCAACCGCTCGTCAATTCCCATCCAGAGCCCAGCACACAAGCAATTCGAACACGTGACAAGAAAGATTAATTAGCTATACAGAGACGAAACGTTTACAAAGATTTTGTGGGGTTGCTTGCAGGGAACCCTTTTTCTCTTGGTTGTATAGAGTACTTAATATGATACGAGTGGGAAACATATAGTGTAGTCAATAGTTGCGTTGGCTACGTTTTGTTTTCCCCTTTTTTGGCTTGGTATCCGGAAGAGTAGCATTTTGGAATTGAGAGGTCAAATTATGATATATCTTTGTTTGTGTTCTTCAAGCTGCACCAGGTGTCAAATACGTACACGCTCTAAACATGTTCATAAAGCTTTTCTATTCCTACGATACATGCTCTGTAGTCATGGCGTCATGGCGTTGCGTTCGTTCTTTCCTAATCGCACGTGTCTTTATCGATGGTGGCTACAACGAAAGACAAGATGGTGGGCCTAACTGAAGATCAAGCCCAATGCATTTAAAAGGGCGATTCTACCTAAAAGCGGAAAATGAGTAAAATCGTAAAACGTAGAATCAAAGCGTAAAAACGTAAGCGGAAAATGAGTAAAACCGTAAAACGTAGAATCAAAGCGTAAAAACGTAAGTTTTTTACACACCCTCTAAAATAGCTAAAATATGTTAAGTACAACATATATAGTATGTAAAAGGTGAGTGTAGATTTTAGATAAGTGAATAACTATATGAAATTCATAATTAAAATGTAATATCTAACACATAAACTAATTTGTGTTGACTCAAAAGTAAAGAAAACTCATAACATTTTAATAATAAGCTCATAAACGTAGATCGTAACCCGTAAACGAGTTTGAGAATCCAAATTCTCATATACAGCTTATAAAATCAATGAAACTAAGTTTCATCCAACCCTATTCTTATGGTATTAGAGCACAAGTAGTACTCTGCTAGGGTTTCTTCACCAGATCACTGAATCTACTCAGTCTTCTACATTGGCTACTTCTACCAGTTCAACAGATCAGTTGGTACCCCAGTCCATTGTCCCAATCAAGTTTAATGGAAAGAACTACAACCTTTGGAGCAGATCTTTGAGGATTGCTTTGAAAACAAGGAAGTAGCTTGGATAAATTGATGGCTCAAAACTACAAACTAACCCTACTGATAGTGGCTTTGAAGAGTGGGATGCAAACAATACTTGTGAGAACCACGGATCTAGGTGTGCGATTTAGGGATCGAACGAATTAGGGATTGGGAATTTAGGTGAGAAAGAATGGGAATTTGGGATGAGAGAGAGAGAGCAGAATTGGGTTTCCGGGTTGGAAACCGCCGAAGGTGAGAGGGAAGGAAGGGGGTCGGCCAAGGTGAGGAGAGAGAGAGGAAGTTGGGAACAATTTCTGTATTATTGCTTGCCCTTGACCTAACATAACATCATATATATATAACCCGACTAATTACTGTTTACTACCCGAATAATTAACCTAACCGAATGAACCCTCACAATTCCCCTACCTAACACTATCCGAATAATACGCAAATAACAAATAGACTCTCGACAATTATGTTTCTCACAATCCATCCCCCTTGAAACCCACCTTGACCTCAAGGTGGTCCATGGGTCTTGTCGTCCTCCTTCTTGTCCTCACCTTCCGCTCCCAGCTTCATTTCCTCGCCTTCATCCTCCCAATTTCCGACTAGCAGCATTAGGTGACTCTTGGCGCACTGATGACCCACAGTATACCTCTCATCACAGTTGAAGCAACGTCCGTCCCGGCTCTTCTGATCCATCTCTGCCTGCGTCAGCCTCACGAACCCGCGCGGTGGTGCTCTGGCCGAAAATCTAGTTCCGGCAGTGGTCCCTGCCGTCGGAGGGCTTGGCGCCGCCGCCGCCGGTACTCCCGCCCCAGTACCTGCCCCGCCCCCTACTCCTCCATTGGCCTTCTGCACCCTGCCTACAGAGGATCTCCAGCTTGCTAGCTCCTCCTCCTTTCGCCCTGCAATTCTGAAAGCCACCCGGAGGGATTCAGGTTCAAAGACCTTGACCGCAGTGGCCAGCTCGGGCCTCAGTCCCGCCATGCACAACCCCACCAGTGTTTCCTCGGTCATCTCCTTGCATTGATTTCCCAGCTTCAAGAACTCTGCCCGATACTCTGCGACTGACCCTGTTTGTTTAAGCTTGGCCAGTTGCTCCGGTGCCCAGCCTTCCGCCCTGCTGAACTGGTACCGAAGCTCATCCTGGAACCGAGCCCATGAAATCCTCTCACCTGCTGCAGCATATGCTCGCTCTGTCCACTCCCACCACTGGAGGGCATCCCCCTCCAAATAGAAGGACGCAGATGCGCCTTCCTTTCCTCTCTAATCGGATGGTTCCTAAACCACCTCTCCGCCGCATACAACCATAAACCCACATCACCAGTGCCATCAAACTTCGGGAACTCAATAACCGGAGGTTTAGCTCTGAACACCAGTTCATCCTCATAGTCATACAGAGGGTTGCTGTATCCGTACCTGTTACCGCCTGATGGCTGCATCGAGGGACCTGACCCGTGGTGTCGGTACTCCGGACCCGCGTTCTGCCTCCCTGAGTAGGCCCAGCCGACCATCTCCTGCTGATATTCCTCCCCGCCACCAGTCTTAACTCCGGATCCTTGTCCTTCCTCCATCCTGCGCCCCTGTCGCGCGCCATCGGCCCGTGGAGTGCCCCAGAGCGGGTACCCAGCCTCGGGACCCAGTCTCTCGCGTCCGGGCCCGCCTCCCGGCCCATAACCGCCGCTGCCCATCGGCCCGCGTCCGGGTTCGACCCGGTTCGGGCCAACCCGCCTCGGTTCGACCGATCCCGGTCCGACCATAACTGGTCCGACCGGCCGATGACCCAATCGGTCGACCGGTTTGGTCCAGCATGGGTTCGGTCACCCAATTCGGATCGGGCACATCTGGCCCAGGGCCCATCTCCCACTCCTCCTGGTCCGCGAAGCTCATCTCCTCATAGTCCGGGCCCAATTCTTCGAACTCCACCACCTTCTTCTTTCTGCGGGCCTCTGCAATTTCTTGGGCCGTTGGAGCAGGAAGCAGGCCCGGCCCACTGAAGACTGGCGCGGACCGATCTCTTCTGCCCGCTCCCCCGGCTGGTCTGGGCCCGCCGGAATGGCCGCCTCCTCTCTCGGTCAGCCCTGGCGGCCGCGCCGCCATCGCCCTCGCTCCACCACCGCCGGTCGCATCGCCCGGCGCCGCGCCTTCCTTGCCGCCTGAAGCCCCTGGCGGCTAAGCCGCCGCCGCCACCAGAGCGCCGCCCGTAGCCCCTACCGCGGCTCCAGCTGAGCCCGCCGCCACTGCCGAGGCACTCGCCGCGCCTCCGGCCTCGCCTCCTCCCCCGCCCGCCGCAGCTCCTGGCGGGCCGATCTCCTTCTTCGCGGCCGCCCCAGCTACAGCCTCTGCCATCTTCTCCACCGCCTCTGGCCGATTCCCCGGGGTTGGCTCCTTGCCTTGAAACACGCCGATCAAGACCTCTTTCATGGTGTCAGCCAGGGCCTTGCACAGCTTCTCTGTCATTGTCGTACCCATCTCCTCAATCGAGGAAGTCATCCGCCCCCCAGGGCCTCTAGGGCTACGGTCGAGTCTCGTGAAGCAGCAGCAGCTCGTTCTGTGGATTCCGTTAAGCTCTCCAACGTCGTCACGATCGCGTCGTACTTGTTATGCGTGATGTCTTTCACAATCACGATCTCCTTGCCATGTTTCTGCTGTTGCGGTTTGTCCATGTTTGACATCTCAATTCCTGCAGCTCAGTAATCAGCACGCCAGCCAGGCTCTGATACCACTGTGAGAACCACGGATCTAGGCGTGCGATTTAGGGATCGAACGAATTAGGGATTGGGAATTTAGGTGAGAAAGAATGGGAATTTGGGATGAGAGAGAGAGAGCAGAATTGGGTTTCCGGGTTGGAAACCGCCGAAGGTGAGAGGGAAGGAAGGGGGTCGGCCAAGGTGAGGAGAGAGAGAGGAAGTTGGGAACAATTTCTGTATTATTGCTTGCCCTTGACCTAAAATAACATCATATATATATAACCCGACTAATTACTGTTTACTACCCGAATAATTAACCTAACCGAATGAACCCTCACAATTTCCCTACCTGACACTATCCGAATAACGCAAATAACAAATAGACTCTCGACAATTATGTTTCTCACAATACTCATGTATTATTAGGCTGGCTCCTTAACTCTCTTGATGAAACTACTGCTGAGAGTGTGCCTAACACTGAGAATGCATATCGAATCTGGAAAGATATGAAAATGAGATATGGCCAAGCAAATGCAGTTAGGTTAGTCGATCTTCAGACTCGAATCTATTCTTGCAAACAAGGAAGTTCTAGCATTAATGAATATTTCACTAGACTGAAGACATATTGGGAAGAATATGTTCAATATAGGACTATTGTTTGTAGTACTTGTCCTCAGGCAGATTGTCCAACAACTGTAGCTCTTAATACTCTTAGAGGGTTCATATATAATGACTATGTCATTAGGTTTATCATTGGACTTAATGATAACTATGAACGGGTGTGAACCAACTTGTTGATGATGAAGCTTATGCCTAGCATAGGATCTGCATTCAGTTATGTCCTGCAACAGCTAGATCCACAAGGTACTAGAACTAAAGGAGATGAAGGAATGACCCTAGCAGTTGATGGAAGCAGGGGAAATGATCAAAGGAAGGGTTCAATACCATCTCAGGGTGGTCTATTTTGCAGATACTGCAAGAAAGACAATAATGTGAAAGAGGATTTTTGGAAACTGAAAGCTAAAAACAGGAAGATGATGGAAGCAGGTCACAACACCTTTGTTGGGTCAGCATCTAATCCAGTTGGAGATGTCCCCTCTAAGGGATATTCTGCTGAAGAAAGATTAGGCTACAAGAACCTCAAGCTCAGTACTGAGGATTGTAATAGACTTCTCAACCTGCTGCAACATTCTCCTGCAACCTCTCCAAGTGCTTCAAGACCAATATCCCCTAGGAAGCTGCCACATGCAAATTATGTCTCAAGGCAATTCCCTACTTTCCCCAACTGATGAGATACAGGTTGGGCTTATAATGTGCACGTAATAGTCATTACTAATGGATTAGTTAATGTTTAGGGTTAGTTAATTAGTAGCTTGCATGGGGCCAAGGTTAGCACGTAGTTTGTAGGGCTAGTGGCGGATTGGGAGTCCTCTAGGTTAGGTGGCCGAGTTTAGCTAGGTAAGTTAGTAGAGTTCAGGTTAGATAGGGTTACGTATTAGGTTTAGACGCCTATATATTGTAATCACGGCATGAATCCGATTTA